TGCCTCGGTCAGGTCACCGTCTTCGTACTGCATGGAGACAATTCTTTTAAGAAAAGAGCAAGAATTATGATTGAACTGATTACAACAGCGTTCGAACCGAAGCATAGAGAAGATCAAATAACAGGTATACGTGAAAAAGGACTCTCATCGCTTTTGGACACAGGTGACCTCGGTATATATGAATTTTAGAAAAGGTGGATAGTCCTGATAGGGGGACAGAGAATGCGGTTTAGCAAAAATTATTCGCTTCAATCCCTGAGCGTCCCAGATGAAAAATGAAATACGGAAGACATTCTTCAAGAGATCAGCATGCGATATGGCAGAAAACGTATTGACGGGTCTGCTTTAAGAGAGGGGTGTTTCCTTCCGTGCTGTTGTAATCTGTGCCTTATAGCAAAACTGTTGAAAAGCTGCAAATACAACTGAAATCACATACTAAAGATTAAAGACGTTCTGCTTCTGCAAAGTCCCATGGTAATGGTCCCAGGAAACACCCGTACACAAATGTTCCCTCTCATAGTGGCATGCAGTTTTTTACTTTGGTCGTTGTTAACTACGGACATTGGGAGGTACAATTTTTGTGAACGGAATCCGTCACCCTTCTCCGTTGGGATTAACGGATCTCACACGAAGCTGGCTGCGATGTTTAACTACGAGGCTAAAAATGAATGTCAAATATATAGCTGTATTTTAATTCAAAGTTGAGACCGCCTTAGCCGTAAAAGGTCCAGAGATTAGCGAAGCAGGATGATGGTCAGTTTTTTACCACCTGCTTAGTGTTTATTGTTCTCAGCCATGAGTCTACCATACAGCCACTTTCGAAAAATTTGCCTAAGTTCAGAAATATGCAATATAAATGATACATAATACCTATATACGAAAAAGAGCAAGAAACTGTTTATTTATAAAAGACATAAATAATTTGGTCAAGCGGATGATTGACCAGTACCGATGACTTGACCTGTGTTTCACGAGCCTTCTTCAAAATAGAGAGGTAAGTGAGCTTCGACTTTCTTTTCTTTTCGCCTGCAGCAATTCTTACGTTTGGAATCAGAAGGTACATGATATATCGATACATATAATAACTTGCATGTTTTAAGAGAATTAAGTCCCATCCCGATATCATCCCTGTGGATACTACCTTTGTTGGTAAGTGAAAGCGTCAAATGTTAAGTGGAACTGTATCATTTTTGTTTCAGATTTCATGTATCAGAAAAACGATCATCTGATAATAACGAATATTGTATTTATGACAGATTATGCACTGAAATCGGTGGTATATTCATCCGAAAATTTGACATACATCGAATAAGTGTTGAGCAACGCTGTTCTAAGCCATATGTGCAATACAATGGTAGCTATTTTTCACTCCCATGGTACACCCCGTAAAAATTGTCATCAAGTTACCCTTGGACGAATAATGAACATTAGTTCTGAATAGTTCGTTGCAGTTTTACACTCACTTTGTTTTTTATCCGGAACAAAAGCTAGTTACTGTCTGAATTCACTGTCAGGGCCTGATTGTTGAATTTTGAATTAATGGTATATTAAATGCCGTCAGGGTATATCAATGAATATCATAGTGTGATATGTCTCCTTGCTTGAAGATTAAAACAAAGCCGGCTTAGGCGAGAGTGATTTTCATGACCTCAGGTTGTAACGATTCAGTTTCTTTAAGGACAGCGAGGTCCCATATTCGTCGAAGTCGTTTTTTCGTTGTATTCCTGTGTGCAGTGAAAATATCTTTCTCCTGACAGCAAATGTCTTGTACTTGTCTATCTTCTAGGAGAGGAAACAGATAATTTCCTTAATCAGTAGTAGACCATCATGCAGCTATGTTTATGTCTAGACATCAACCGACAGATCCGAATTAGCATGAGAACGACAGTGATTGTGAATATAATAATCATCAGCCGTCGCAGCGTCCTCTGGTGGTTTTATCGCACCATTATCTCTCGCATCTGCATGTTCACGTGTCGTCGTGGGTTGGCCTTGAAATAACTGTCCCAGTTTGACAGTTTCTTTCATGAATAGTCGCCTTGACGCCTCTGCCGCCAAGGTACAATAAACGGTCTATACTCGACACTGTGTCTTCCGTGTCTCTATGCATTTGTATGCGCTTTGTTTCGTATGTTATTATTGTGATTATGTTTGTACAAAATTCTTGAACAGCGATAATTCGCGACGTGCGTCAACAGATTCGTAAAAAACATGATTGTCGTCAAACGACACTACTGTGATTCAGATGCATGTCTTGTCAAAGCGTCGTCTTGACAAAGAACAAACGCTGAGCGTAGGCCGTTGCTGATTGGTCAACGCAGTGGGGGTGACTCATTTCATTTCTGTGTGTTGGATGGTCTACGCAGTACTCGTTCGGACTCGCCAC